CTTCCTTCCTTTCTTTCTTTCTCTCTCTCTCTCTCTCTCTCTTTCTTTCTTTCTTTCTTTCTGAGACTGAGTTTCCCTCTTGTTGCCCAGGCTGGAGTGCAATGGCGTGATCTCGGCTCACTGCAACCTCCACCTCCCAGATTCAAGCGATTCTCCTTTCTCAGTCTCCCAAGTAGCTAGGATTACAGGTGCACGCCACCACGCCCGGCTACTTTTTTTGTATTTGTAGTAGAGACGGGGTTTCACCATGTTGACCAGGCTGGTTTCGAACTCCTGACCTCAGATGATCCACCCACCTTGGCCTCCCAAAGTGCTGGGATTATAGGCATGAGTCACCATGCCAAGCTCATGTTGGGTTTTCCACCCGAGGGCATCAGTATTCCAGATATTAGAGCCCCCTTGAAACTCCAAAGAGTCTATGCCAGAAAACAGCCTGTTTCTCAAACATAAAATGAACTCCTTTGTCATTTCCCAAGCTAATTATTTTAAGGGTTTAGCATCTTTTGTGAATGCGTGACTTTCCGATGGTTCTGTTTTTCTACTCTTGATGGCAAAATATTTCTGGATTTGTGATAAGATTTGCTTTACTGTTTAAAGTAGCAAATGCCAAGTGGAACCATTATATCAGTTGACTTCTATCAGAATACCTTCCCCGGTGGAATTTCATTCTTGCAGACATTGCACAGTTCAAAGTTTATAGACTTGAATCAGGAAGTTTCTTCTAGATGGAAATATCTCAGCTCATAGTCCTCGAAAGTGAGTAGAGCTTCATAGAGTCTGGGTATGTATGTGGCTGCACTGAGAATTAATACGTGTCAGGCGTTGCTATTGTGAAATAGCTGTGGCGGGTAATGACCATCATTCATTCTATTTTATTACTTTTTAAATGTGATTCCATTTTGGCTTTGGCAGAGGTGAGGGAACTGACTTGTATTTTCTGTTTATACTTGATATCTAAAAGCCCCTTGGGGGAAATGACGCTAGCAAAAAACATGTAAATTAAAGAGGAAATTTACTAAGACACCTTGACAAACTCAAAAATGAAAATACTGAGCTTTAACTGTTTGGTCAACCTGATTCTTGACTCTTACACTCATAATTAGTGAAGCAGGTGTGGACAGGGCATGGAGCCAGAGTATTTTTTGTATGAGTGGCTTTTTTACAAGCAAGTGAAATGATGGTTAAGGTTTAGTGTCCATAAGCAGAGAAGCTAAGCCTGACATAGCAGATACTTTAGAATAAGAAGCAACTGAATGATGAAACTTCAACTGAACCTAATCCTCCTTAGATCTGTTAAAGTACCTACAATCATTACCTAGGGCACTCAGTGAGGTCCAGTAGTGGGGGAGCGTTCCCAGCCCAGGGAAAGAGCCTATGCGTTTTCTTTTTTTGTTTTTGTTTTTTTTTTAAGACGGAGTCTCGTTTGTCGCCAGGCTGGAGTGCAGTAGTGCAATCTTGGCTCACTGCAACCTCTGCTTCCTGGGTTTAAGTGATTCTCCTGCCTCAGCCTCCCGAGTAGCTAGAATTACAGGTGCACGCCACCACGCCTGGCTAATTTTTTGTATTTGTAGTAGAGATGGGGTTTCACCATGTTGGCCAGGCTGGTCTCGAACTCCTGACCTCAGGTGATCCACCTGCCTCAGCCTCCCAAAGTGCTGGGATTACAGGCATGAGCCACTGTGCACGGCCGGAAAGAGCCCATTCTAAGTGAGGACTTAAGAGCAGACATTTGGTGCTGAGACAGGAGAAAGCGCAGATTAATGGGAAGCACTATGAGTTCAGATCTCATCTGACACTTACTAGATATGTGACTAATTTTTAAATAGATTGTTTTATCTTTTATTACAAAAGTTTTGTAGTTTTTTATAAAAGCAAAAGAAGAGAAAAACACTCTCAATCTCATTCAGAAAACAAGGTACTCTTAATTCTTTCATGGTTTTCTTTCTAAATCCTCTTTCATGTACGAACATACCTACTCATCACAAAAATAAGATTGTTCATGGCATTTAGTAATCCTCTCTTTTATCTTACATATTCTGTACAATGCTGACATCATTTTTGATAGCTGCATAATGTCCCATCTTATATATGTGTTTTAATTTGCATAATGTCCCATCTTATATATGTGTTTTAATTTGTTGAGCAAGTGTTCTATTGTTGGACACATAGGTTGTTCTAACTCTTCACAATTACAAAATGGCTGTGATAAATAATTGTAGGTAACTGTTCACCCAAGTTCAAGATTGTAGTATTTTCTTAAGAAAAAAATTCCCCAGAAGTCATATTTCCTGATGAATGAGCACGTTATAATTTTCCTACTTGGAGTTTGTTGAGATTTTTGAATGTATACATTCATGTTTTTCATCACATTTGGGAAGATTTTGGCCATTATTTCTTCAGATAATCTCTCTGCCTCTTTCTCCCTCTCTCTTTCCCTTCTCTCTAGGGCTCCCATAATGCATATATTAGTCTGCTAAACGGTGAATCACAGTCCCTTAGGCTCGTTCACCTTCATTCTTTTTTCTTGTCAGACTTGATAATTTTAAATGACTTCTCATTAAGGTCACGGATTCTTTCTTCTGCCTATTTGAGTCTGCTCTTGAGTGAATTTTTCAACTCAGTTATTGTTTGTCAGCTTGACAATTTATTTGGTTGTTTTTGTTATTTATAATTTATATGTCTTTGTTGATATTCTGAATTTGTTCATATATTGTTTTCCAGATTTTCTTTAGTTCTTTGTGTTTTCTTTGAGCTCTTTGAGCATGTTTAAGATACTTGTTTTAAAGTCTTCACCTGGTAAGTCTGATGCCTGTGTTTCTCAAGGACTGTTCCTGAAGATTTACTTTGTTCTTTTGAATGGGCCATGTTTTCCTGTTTCTTTGTATGCTCTGTATCTTTTGTTGAAAATCGGGCATTTAAAAAAATCAGCTACCTCTCTTAGTCTCTGGAGATTTGTGGATAAGCCCTTCGCTAATTAGCAGGACGTGTTCTGAGCTTTGGAATCAGCCTAGCATAAAGGCTTAAAGTCTTCTAAGGCCTTTTCTGAATATATGTCTTACCTGGGCCTGCATGTGTGATTTTTTTTCCCGCAATTCTCCTGTATACACAGTTGCTTTTAAATATCTTAATTTTCCCAAGAGTCTCACCCATTTGTTCTCTGAACCT